GGGAGAGGAGGAGCAGGAAGAACAGGAGGAGTGAGACTCCCAATGCGTAGCTTCTTGGGGCACTCTTGGGGCGATACAGGGTTGTCGTCCACATGCTTCTTGCGGAGGCCTCCTGGGCATTTCCGAATCCTCATGGAGAGGCTCAGTGGCCACTTGGAGCCGTCTTGGGGCGGTCCTGGCGCCTCTTCGAGGCTCGTTCGAAGCTATCTTGAACGGCCTTGGGCTAGCTTGATCGATCTTGGAGACCATATTGGACCCTTTGCGGCCCTCTCGGAGCCATCTGGAGCCATCTTGCGCGCTCCAACCCGTCGCGGGGCCTCTTCTCCAGACGCAGGGGGAAGGGGTTAGGGGGAAGAAGGGGGGTGGACGGACCAGGCTCGCTGAGCCACCTCCGCCCAGGGGGCGGGTGGGATCACAGTTGACAATCCGTTGCGCTCTGCACTGCTAGCGCTCGCTCTCGCATCCTATCGTTTCCGTAGCCCTTTTTGGTTCAAGTTGTTCATTTTTGCTACCATGCCAGCCTCGACGAAGGCAGCGCTCGAGAGGAAGCGCATCGCCAACATGGGCAGGGCACGCGTCAGGGCCGTGAAAAACTTCTTGGGCAAACCGTGGGTGGCGAAAGCCTTGAAGGAGGCAGTGGCGGAGTTCAAGGCCGCTTCGCACAGGCGTCTGTGCGATGCACTGGCCACTGCTACCCTTCGTTCCACCTCTCGGTTCGACGCTCTCTGCGAGAAGAACAGGAAGCTCACGAGGGAGCTCGACGCAGCGACCCGCGAGAAGCAGGAGCAGGCCGACGAACTCGAGAAGCTGCGGCAGCTGGCGCGGGCCAACGAGAAGCTGTAGCAGAGCAACGAGGAACTGCAGGAAGAGCTCGGCCAGGCCAAAGCCGCCCTCGCCGACCTCCGCTCAAAGCAGGCTCGCTTCAACTACTGGGCAACGCCCCAGGAGAAGAAGCGCTGGGCCTGGCTCACTTTGCACCCCGCGAAGTGGGGTTCGAGGCGCAACCGGTCCCTTAGGGACGGCTGCATGGGCAGCCACTGAGGCGCCTGCACGACCTTTGCACGGGGCTGCTAACGAAAAAACCAACATGCTGCCGCATGGCGTGCCCGCCGCCCACCACGCTCCAGGGAATGGCGTTCGAACTTCGACCGCCAGGTGGCGGCATCTTGAACAAGACCTTGCTGTCGGGGGATCTTGGATAAGATCCCCCTTGCTTTGGAGGTTCCCCCAAAAAAAAACTCGACGGAGGGGGAAACGGAGCAACCTACAGACGACGTGCTTTTTGACGCCCATAAGCTCGCGGCTGCTTGGGCCCAATCGCAAGGTTCTGCCGTTTGTGCTCAAGTGCACGACTGAGACATACCCCAAGCCACCAGGTGGCGGTATCTTGAACAAGATCCTTCTGCGTGCGTCTTGGGTAACATTCCCCTTAGTTTGGGCGTTCAGAGAACAAATCGACAGAGGGGCAAGCGGACCGACCCAATGACAACGCACCCCTGCACGGGGCTGCTAACGACACGCCCACACGCTGCCGCGCGGCGGGCCCGCCGCTCCCCCCGCTCCAGAAAATGACGTTCGAACTTCGACCACCAGGTGGCGGTATCCAGGCAAGATCCTTCTGTCGGGGGGTCTTGGATAAGATCCCCCTTACTCTGAAGGTTCAGAAAAACAAAAGGGCATCCACAATTTAGGATGCCCCCCTTGGAACGGAAATCGCAAAAGCGCAACAGAAAACACGGCAGAACCACAAGAACACCGCATCGATGATAATGAACGACAGACGGCGGCAAACTCGCCGCGACGCAGACCCAGTGAGAAACAAGTGCGTCTTCTGTGGCCCAAAATGGGCATCCAAACTTAAAGATGCCCTCGTGGCGACGGACACCGCAAAACGCAACAGAAACGCAATGCATAACGACAAGGATCAACACGTCAACTACCATGAACAGCATACAGCTGCAAGCCCGCCGCGACGCAGAAGCAGTGAGCAGCAACTGCGTCTTCTGCTGTGAAAAAAGGGGCATCCCGATTTTAGGGTGCCCTCTCCGAGGCGGAAATCACAAAACGCAACAGAAAAGAAATGCAGAACAACAAGAACAACGCCTTGATGGTAATGAACGACAGGCATCGGCAAACCCGCCGCGACGCAGAATGAGTGAGAACCAATTGCGTCTTCTGTTGCGAAAAAGGGCATCCCATTTTTAGGATGCCCTCCTGGAGACGGAAATCGCGAAGCGCAACAGAAACCAATGCAGAACAACAAGAACAACCCACCGACAATAAGGAACAGCAGGCAGCGGCAAACCCGCCGCGACGCAGGAGCAGCGGGTGACCACTGTGTCTTCTTCCTGAGGAAAAAACGGCATATCTTCCTTCTTCCACCTACTACTACTACTACTACTACTACTACGACGACTACTACTACTACTACTACTACTACTGCCACTACTCCTACTACTACTATTACTATTTACTATTACTACTACTACTACTACTCCTACTACTACTACTACTACTACTACTACTACTACTACTACTACTACTAAAACTACTACTACTACTACTACTACCACCACACCACCACACCACCACCTACTACTACTACTACTACTACTACTACTACTCCTACTCCTACTCCTACTCCTACTACTACTCCTACTACTCCTACTCCTACTCCTACTACTACTACTACTACTACTACTACTACTACTACTACTACTACTCCTACTCCTACTACTACTCCTACTCCTACTCCTACTACTACTACTACTACTACTACTACTACTACTTCTACTACTACTACTACTACTACTACTACTACTACTACTACTACTACTACTACTACGACTACTACGACTACTACGACTACTACTACTACTGCGACCACGACTACGCCTACTACTACCACTACTACTACTAGCACGCGTCGACTCCGCGCGCACACCACGTGCACAGCGTGCGCGTACACTATGCGCGCCGCGTGCTCACTGTGAATAGCCAAAAAAACAATCGCATTGCGTCGCATTGATTTGGAGAAGGAGGGATGGGTTGAAGAATTACTGCTGCATTCTGATTGTAATCATACTGTGATCCTGGCGGGTTCGGTAGGAGGAGGAGGAGGAGAAGGAGGAGGAAAAGGAGCAGGAGGAAGAGGCGGAGGAGCAGCAGGAGGGTGAGGATGAGGAGGACGAGGATGAGGAGGGCGAAGAAGAGGATGAGGATGAGGAGGAGGAGGGGGATGAGGATGAGGAGGAAGAAGAAGAGGATGAGGATGATGAGGATGAGGGGGATGAGGGTGAGGAGGATGAGGATGAGGAAGGGGAGCAACAACAGCAACAGCATCAGCATGGCAACGAAACCGTGCTACTCACATGTGTTTTTTTGGTTTTTGTTCGGTCAGGGAGGCAACCAAACACTGCTATTCACAGGTTTTTTGTTGTTGTTGTTTTTTTTTGTTTTCAGAGATCCACAAGCATGGCCAGGGGGTGTTGTGGAACGCCAGAAACCAGCCAAAAACTTGTGGATTGCAGTGTTTGGGGAGAGCATGGCCACCAAACACTGCTATTCACATGTTTTTTTGTTTTTTTTTGTTTTCTGGCGGACCGAAAAAACCAAAACAAACTTGTGAATAGCATGGTTTCGTGGCCGTGCTCTCACCAAATGCTGCTATTCACATGTTTGTTTGGTTTTCTGGCGGACCGGAAAAACCCCCAAAACCTGTGAATAGCATGGTTTCGTGGCCATGCTCCCCCCAAACACTGCAATTCAAAAGTTTTTGTTTGGTTTCTGGCGTTCCACAGCACCCCCTGGCCATGCTTGTGTATCTCTGAAAACCAAAAAACAAAAAAAAACTATGAATAGCAGTGTTTGGTTGCCTCCCTGACCGAAAAAACACACAAAAAAACATGTGAATAGCATGGTTTCGTGGCCACCCTCCTCCCGCAAGTCTTTTTGGCGAAACAAAAACTTGTGAATTGCAGTGTTTGGGGAGAGCATGGCCACCAAACACTGCTATTCACATGTTTTTTTTGTTTTTTTGGTTTTCTGGCGGACCGAAAAAAAAACAAACATGTGAATAGCATGGTTTCGTGGCCGTGCTCTCACCAAATACTGCTATTCACATGTTTGTTTGGTTTTCTGGCGGACCCGAAAAAAAAACATGTGAATAGCATGGTTTCGTGGCCATGCTCTCCCCAAACACTGCAATTCACAAGTTTTTGTTTGGTTTCTGGCGTTCCACAACACCCCCTGGCCATGCTTGTGGATCTCTGGAAACCAAACAACCAAAAAAAAATGTGAATAGCAGTGTTTGGTTGCCTCCCTGATCGAAAAAAACAAAAAAAACATGGAATAACATGGTTTCGTGGCCACCCTCCTCCCGCGAGTCTTTTTGGCGAAGGAAGAGGAGGAGGAAGAGGAGGAGGAGGAGTTAAGGACGAGGAGGAAAGAAGGAGGAAGAGGAGGGCGAGGGAGAAGGAGGAGGAGCAAACAATCAATGATCGTTTTGTGGTTTTGGTGGCTTGGGGGGTGCTGGGGGGGGCGACCATATATATATATATATATATATATATATATATGTATCAGCGGCCGTAGTTGCGTAGTGGACGTATGCATCATACAAAGACCGACAAATCAACTGCACGTAGTTGCGTAGTGGATGTAGAATGCGTGTCGCCAGGTCGTGGCGGCGTTGCCAGGGGAGCAGCGTTTGCGGCTGTGGTCTATGACGTGGGACGGCAGGGGCGGGAGTATTTGCAACTCCTGACTTCCCCCGTCTTCTGTATGGAGAGGAAACAAACATACATTTTTCGGCAAGCGGCAGGTTTGGTACATGACTACCTGGCTCTCGCTGGGCAGCACGTGCGCGCGGCTGCAACCTGTAATCACGCTGTCGCGGATGGGAGGGAGTAGCAGGAGCGACACGAAGGAACGCAAGAACGAAGGTCCGAGAAAGCATAGAAAAGCAGAAAGACGGAAAGCAGCTTCCCAGCTGGAGGCACTCCTTGGACGCCGAGGTCAGCAGACCCTCCCCTCATTCAGCCGCGCGCTCGCCACGCTGCTCATGAAACAGGCTGTCTGCTATATCCTCCTCGCCAAGCACAATCATCATCATCATCATCATCATCATCATCATCATCATCATCATCATCACCATCAGCACCAGCATCATCATCAGCATCATCATCATCAGCAACATCACTGTTCTCATTCACATCATCACAGTCTTCACCATCACCAACAACAACACCATCACCATAAGCATCCACATCCGCATCCGCATCAACATCATCATCCGCAACATCATCATCTGCATTGTCATCATCACCATCATCATCATCCTCATCATTGTCATCCCCATCATCCTCATGACCTTCACTATCATCAGCACGACCATCATCATCAGCAGCATCAGCAACATCATCAGCATCACCATGAGCATAGCCATTATCATCATCATCACCATCATCATCATCATCCATCGTCGCCCGCCTCTGCGGCATCTACGCGTTGCTACTCCCTCCGTGCTGCTTCTTCCCTTTGCGTTGGCCATACATTGAGGATATCTGCTGTGTACTGTGCGCCCCCATTATGTTGCCCCCACTCCCCCTAATGTCCCTCACGCGTCTCACCCCCACTAGCCTCATCCTCACCCTGAAACCCAACACTGCACGCATTGTTACAATCATCCTCGCGCTCATGACCCTCCGTCTCCCCATTGTTCTCGACCTTCTGCTTCTGGTCTCCCTAATCCTGCTACTCCTCCTCGCCAACACCATACCATGTCTTCCCTCCGCATCCCCTTCCCCCGCTCCAACTCTTCCCCCTTCTCCTCCTCCAGCCCCTCCTCTCCCTATCCTCAGCGGGGGGAGAGCAATCGGTGCCCCGTCCATTCTGCCTTCCACCGGTGCCGCGCTCTCGTTCGGACCTGCGCCCCTGCCCACCTCCCCCCAGGGTTCCTCTAGGTAGGTGATCGGCAATATGGACTGGTAGACGACTACGAAGAACAGATCCTTCAAGCGGGGATGGATGAGATGAGGGACGAATGGCTGTTCAACGGCGACGACGGGTAGACCCATCCGCGAATACTGAACTCACAGCAGCAAGGCCGCGCCGAGCCGCGGGGTGCAGGGGTGACTGGCGGCTGTCCAACCGCAGTGCGCACGAGCCCGCGCGCAGCATCGGCCCTGGTATGCGCCATCGAGCATTGTCTGGAAAGGGCGCAACATCCCAGAGAGGGCGCGCACGATGTGCCCCTGGAACGGCCCTGGGCCGCACCTTCGTCTGAACATGGGGAAAGCGGGAAGAATGCACCTGGAACGGTCCTGTGAAGCACAGTTGTCGGGACCTGGAACACATCATCATCTACCTAACACGAGACCGGTTCTTGCCACTGCCACTTCACATACACGCGCGCGCTATTGCTCCCAATCATGTGGTATGTGGTGTACCATTTAGCCTATCTCGCTTATGTTGTCACAGGAGATATTGGCGACCTTAGCTTGCCTCGGCTCGTATTGTTCCAGCAAGGCTGTGATGAGCACTCCGCCGCAATCGGCTCACCGTGGTTTTTGCTGCCCTGCGCCCGCTCGCTGCCGCCCCCTGCGTGTTTTCGAGGCCATGCGCCTCGCTCCCATGGAGCGGCTACCAAAACCCAGGCTCTTATGTGGTGCTGGGACCCGCCTGTGCCGATCGCCGTGGATGCGACCTACGGCATCGGCGCCCTCTTTTGCACAGGCAGGACTTCATGTTCGTTCTCAATGCCAGGTACCTCAACGAGTCCGACCACGACAACCTCGACTTCGAGCCCCGCCATTCTGGCCCTGCAGCTCGAGGTCACCTCAGGCCCACCAGGGCCGCAACCTTGCTTTCTGGGGCCTCCGTAGACGCATGCCCCCACCTTCGATCCTGCGGACTGCTATGGCCCACCACCGCCCCATAACTCTCTTTCCGCTCCATCTAACCTGCACCCGTGCGGACGCATAGAAAGCATGGACGTCGGGACCCACATCCCAGGCCCACCAGGGCTGCCACTCCCTGCTGCCACGCTGTCTTCATCTTCGGTCGACAGCACCACCGTGGCGACCAAGAGGTATTCCCAGCGACGTCCAGTTCTCCAGGGACTCGCTGCAGGTTTACGCCAGCACATTGGGACGCCGGCGGGGTGGTGGACTGTGCACGGCGCTACCGTCTGGCTAGACTAATGCATCCAGAACGTCACTTACGCCCCTCAGGGCTCCGAGTACGCGGGTCTGTTCCTCCACATGGGCGCATACGACGCACGCATCCAGCGACGCTCTCTGGCGGGCATGGTCTGCCGAGGCGCCTGTGCCCGTGGTCTTGGCCGACCTCGCCGGCAAGCAAGCGCATGCGTTCAACGCCCGTGCTCATTTCTTCTTCGGAGCCCCAGTGCCCGCGCTGGCGGGGGCCGACAGTTCGCATCGCTCCAGGTACTCGGTTGCTCCCGATCGCGGTCGCCCCGCGGCAAGCCGCGCGGGAAGCTGCCGAGCCACCAGGGCCAGGCACTGGCGCGCCAGCGCCACCTTATCGCGGTCGCCGACGGAGAGCCTACGGACCAAGACGGCACCGCACAGCACGGCATCGGCACGGCCAAACCTAGAAGACACGCTGGGGTCACGTCTGCCAAGTTTCGGCTTTCACTGCCGCTCCCAATGCCCACCCTGGGAGAACCCCTGGCCTCCCCGGCACAGCAACAAGGCACGCATTGGTCATGCCGTCCCCTTTCCCTCGAGCTTGTCCGCCTCTGGCCACCAGGCCCTCCGCTCCAGCTCCAGGGCCCGACGGGGCCAGCAGGGAAACTGGTCACACGCGTACCCCAGCGGGTGGCCTTCAGGTAGCCCACCTCGCCAGTACCAACGTCACCAGCCTCGCCGCCAACTGGGGCACCCTCACAAAACCCCCGAACCACTACACCACCTCCACTGTTGCGTGCCAAGGAACACGCCTTCGACAGGCGCGCGCGCTCGCCCGAGCACGGCGCCCGGCGGCCAGCCCAGGGGCGCTGTCCCACAGGCGCCGATGTTCCCCGTAAAGGCCACGGGGGAGGCACCGACAACCAGGTTCACGCTACGGCGTCCCAGCACGGCAGCGCGCGCATAGCGGCCCAATGGGTCCTCGTGGACACTGCCAAGGACGATCCAACTCGCCCCGCCCTTCGCGACCGCGCAATGGACCGAGGCATTCGCCCCTATCCCTGCTCTAGGCCCAGACAGCGAGCGCCGCGGGCGCGGGGGCGTCGCCAATTGTATCTACGCGGCTCTCCTGCCACGTGGGTTTTGTAAACCAAATTGCGTTTGGGCGGGTGGGGTGACTGCGGAAGCAATGGACTTGACAACTCACTGCGAGGCACACTAACAACACCACATCGATTACGCCACATACATCCCCCTTCCTGAAAACATATCAAGACCGACTCCCCCCGGGACTACCCCCCCGGGAGATTGCAAACTGCATGTGTCGCTGCCGTATCGTTCGTTTTGAAAACGAACCCACACCGGCCAAGCCAGGTCGCCCCCCCACTCACCCCGGTCAAATAATATCGCGCTCTCATTTATCAAGATTCATGCATTCCAGCACTCCATTGCACAAGAAAAACGAAGTCCACGCGCGAGCGGCGTCGCGCACGCATGCAAGGCGTATTCCAACGCGACGCGGCGATTTCAAATTCTATTTCCCGAAAGCGTATTCAACTACAGTTAAGCAAGTGCGCGTTTCGAAACAGTTTGCGCGCTGTTGCGGATTCTGAAGACAAGCCGCAAGTTCTCCAAAATTGCATCGAGCGCGACCAAGCGGACCTCTCGCGAGCACGTGCCGAATTCATTCGAACGCCTTTGCGCGCTTGCTGTTGTGTGTGCGCGCGTGTGTATTGTGTGTGTATGTGTGCGTGTTTGTTTGGGGGGCGCGTTCCCTGTCCTACGCGGGCAACTTGCCTGCGTCGGCCGCGCGCGCGCGTCGACACCCCACAAAAGACCTTCATCGCCGAAGCGTGGACGACATCTTCGTCATCGGCGCGGCCATCATCGGCGCCCTCATTGGCAGTGCCGTCGTCATCGTCATCATCGTTGCCATCGTCGCCGCTATCAACGTCGTGCCTGTCGCAGTCGATGTCGCCAAGGTACCGCGCCCGCGCGAGTCACCGACTCGCACCGCTGCGCCCGCGCGTCAGCGGGGCCTGGTAGACGCGATGGGAAGTCCCCAGCAGTCGGCGCCACCGCGGCCGCGTCGGTCGCGCCAAACTAGCTGGCGGCTTTGTGCAAGAGCCTGCGCGCGCTAGCGCGGCCGCAGCGATGCGCCAGCCAGCGCAAAGCAGTCATCGCAATCGCCGCCGCATTGGTTTTGCAAACAAAGTTGCGGGTGGGCGGGCGGGATGATTTCGCGGGCAGCGGAATTGACTAGTTCAAACTCTGCAAGGTGAGTTGCACTGCGTGGAACGCACCACATAGATGTCTAGAAACGTATTGTTTTTAGTCCGCGCTGACCAAATTTGATAATCAGGCGGTGGGCGATGGACCCGAAGCCCTCCCAGCAGGCCGCCCTCACCAGGCAACGGGCTCCCAAGCTGACCCCTGGCGGCGCATCCACAGCGTGGCGCAGGCCACGCCATGCAGACCTCTTCCGCGTCGAAAAGGTGGAAGGCCATCTCGGAGACATGGCGGTCAACGTCGGCCTCGTCGCGCCCGCGGCCGAGGCCTTCAACCGGCGCGGCGACGAGCTGGCCACAGCAGTCGCGCGCCTCCACCAGCTGCCGCAGGACGTGGCTGACGCGACTACGTGCCGCCATGAGTTCGCGGCCGTGCTTCTCAATGCTGCGATGGCCATCCACGACCACCGCCACCGCGCCCTGCCCCTCCCAGACCCAAGCCGCGGTGCTGGCCAGTCCCACTGAACACCCAGCACCCCTCTCCGTGCTACCTGCCACCAGGCATGTACCCAATCCCACCAGGGGACTGGCGTTCAGGGCATCACCCCCCCCACCCACCAGGGAACCGAGGATCCCCTGAAGGGGCGGTCGGTCGCCTCCCGACCGGCGCTTTGCCCTCATCCACTGCCTCGCGGCTGAACGTCACCAGGCCGCCCATGAGTCGGATCTCCGCGCCAGCATCACCGCGCTCCACCAGCGCGCCGCGCGGCTCGAACATACGCTGCGTCGCGCCCAAGAACAGGCGGGGCCTCTCCTCGCACGGCTCCACAGAGCCCAACCCGCCTGGGGCGCCACCCGCTCCGCGTCCCCACCGCCCCCCCCCGGATTTCCCTGCATACATGATGCCATCCAAGCGAATCTCGACGCTCACCGCCAGCGCAACAACCGCTAGCGCCTCGCACCTGCGCCCCGTGAAAACGCTTAGCAACACGTTCCACGGACCACGCCCTGGATTGCGGTCGGGGATGCCTCTCCGCGTCGCCCTCTTGCAGGGTCTCAGAAACGCGCGTGCCAACAGGTGCTTTACCTGGGCCCCGATTCAATCGTGGGCGTGCAGATCGCGCGTGGCACTCCTGAATCACCTGCTTTGATTTCCAGCCGTAGTCTTCCAGACTGCGCCAGGGGGGGACGCTTCTGCACCACACCCGTCTGCAACAGGGGCCCCCTCCCGCCAAAGAGGCGTGGGCAGCAGGCGCGTGTAATTAGCCCCGCTCGCGGAATCTCGCTCTCCCTCTCTCTTTCTCACTCTCTGTGTCGCTCTTTCTTTCTCTCTCTCTCTCTCACTCTCTCTCTCTCTCTCTTTCTCTCTCTCTCTCTCTCTTGTATCTCTCTGTTTAAATTGATATTGCTGGTGTATGTCAGTATGCCTTGTCTTATTTCGTTATATGTATTCGTATACTTATATGTCACTGATGATATTTCGCTATCTCCTTCTGGTTAGATATGGATTAGTTTCTTTATGTATGTAGTTATGTATGATGATTTGTTATGTGTGTGGGTCATTCATTTTTCTTTCGTTCTTTCGTTCCACATGTAAGTTTCGTTCGTTCGTTCTCTCTCTCTCTCTCAGAA